AGACTTAACTGCTTTTTCTGGACTCTACCAGTACTAGACATTCCTTGAACCATGACAGTATAGTCCAGTTTCTGCCTCTATCTCCTTAAGACCTTCGTTCCTTTGTATCTGTTTCTGTGTATTAGATTTTTTCTTAAAATGTTATCATACATTTTGGATTGAGGATCCATTTTCTTCTGGAATGATATAATAATCTTAATTTCACTAATTATCTCTGTAATAATTCTGTTTCCAACTGAGATTATATTCTGAAGTGGGGTGAATTAGGATTTCAGCATGTCTTATTTGGGGGAAAATTTATAATATAACAATGGTTTTAGAGAGAATAGAGGTAAGCATAATAGAGCATCTTTGCAGAGGTAGAATTTAATTCATTTGGGAAAGTAACATTGTCATAATACAAGCTCACCCAAATTAGATTTTGCAAGTAGTACAAATAGAGTAAGAAATCCTTTTCTCTAGTACTTGGAGAGATTTTACATTTTTCTTCATTCATTGCATTCAGCAATGGAATCAAGAGGACTCAACAATCATCGAGCACAGAAATAGATAAAAAATTCTTATGGAGAGTTGTATTGGGTACTATGTATACTAATATACCATCTAGACATAGATTTTTCAAAGGGAACATCACAAACACAGAGCAGAACTAACATGGAATCTGTTGAACCTGTCTACTAAGATGAGTACATTCAGGCAGATAAAACCTTGTTTGCTATAAGTAAGTAATAAAAATATTACATGGACTCCATAATCAATATTGCAGAATCAAAGGGAGGGCATGGGGAGAGAGTAGTACCATCAAGTAATATTAAATAGACATACAAGAAATTTTCTTTTGATAGTGATCTGTATTCATCTTAAGATCCTATAGCAAATGTTTGCAAAAGTTTGGCATCCTGAACAGATTTCAAGGCATTACCGCTGTGTTTCTGAAATGATGGAACATTAACAATCTGGGTCAGAATTAGTTTCTGTGTTAAAGTGATATTTTCTACTTACAAGTTGTTATATAAGAATTTGAAGGGCAAAATGGAAATTACAATCGAATAAGATCCTGGGTGATCCATCCCCAACATTCAAATGCACAAAGAACAGAATGCGAAGAAAATGAAAAGAAAAAGTTAAAAATCAAAAGGAGTATTATAATACTTAATAGTGCAAGAGAAAATTGATGCTAATTACACCAAGAAAATCTATAATAGCTGAAGTTACAGAGCACAGAAAATTTGAAGAATTTCTATTTTCATATTTCATAATATTAGAATAGCTTAAAGAAGGTAACATGTATCTTGTATGACTGTAGAGAAAAAACTGAAAAGTATGAGATAAGAAATTTGCATTAAATTATCTGAATATCTTACTATTACAAAAGCAAAACAAATTCTTATAATAAAAATTAGAAAATTACATAATAGACTTAAATCATCCAATCACGTAGTCAAAAGACTGATAATGTGTCATAAACTTGATATATTTAAGATAGCTTTTTGAAGAATATTTATCCATAATGGATACATATCACAGCAAAATATAAATATTATGGCAGTCTCAAAGTCAACAATGTAATTAATGCTAAAGCAATAGAGATATCTTCTTATCAGAAAGGCATGTCATATTTTTTTCATTATCCCCAAAGATACTTGTCAGTGAAATAAGACAAGAGTATTACAACATAAAATGAAGTAGTAGAGAATATTTCAGATGATATGATTGCCTATGTAGAAAGCCAGATACAGCATATTAGGGAGTTTAATTTAATTGCCACTCACAGTATCAAAAATAAAAGTTAAAGCTCAGAACAAACACAATTAGGAAACTAAATTATAAAATATGTAGAAGCAAATGTCAGAAAGAATGTGTATAATATATTTATTGATTTTTTTCCTGGAGATCGAACTCGGGACTATGCACTTGCCAGGCAGGCACTTACGCCACTGAGCTAATTCTCCAGCCCAGAATGTATATAATATATTAGTGATATAATACTGATGAATAATATAAAAGTAACAATGTTTAACAATGACATTTTACTACAAGATATTTAATGATTGCTATTGAAATTTATTTTTATTAAATATAATCACTGTCACTGTGTTAGAATAAATGTGACAAAATGATATAAATTTTATCTTTCCAAAAAGCATATAGTAAAAATGACATTTTACGGAGTGATTAAGACTGATTTGCCCTAATGTATTATTCAAAGCTATATTTTTGAAGAATGTCTAAAAAGAGTCTACTGACATGATCTAGTAAGTATATTCAGATCAAGTTAGAACAATGAGAGAGGGAGAAAGGGAAGAGACGGGGGGGGGGTGGCAGGTACCTTTGAGTCTGGAAAAGGAAATACTGTGAGCATATTTTTAAATGAGCTAAAATTAAAAGAAGAGGACAATCATTAAGCTGTATTAAAATTGTAGAGTTATGCAGAACTGTTTAATGTTGGGGAAAGTACTAAGTGTACACTATCACCAACAAGCCTTGGATTTGGGACAAGTTGTCATTATATCAAACAAATATCATAGACATTACATCTGAGTGGTGCTTTACTGTACTTTTTCTAATGGATTAAAAATGCTCCATTTGTTTTTTATTTGTTTGCTTTTAACTGTAATTTTTAAAAGCATTTTTATAAATGTATGTTTTGGGGGCTGGGGATTTAGCTCAGCAGCATCAGCGCCTACCTTGGAAGCAGGCAGTCGTGAGTTCGATCCCTGGTACCGATAAAAAGGAAAAAGACAAAAAAAAAAAAAAGTATGTTTTAATATTAGCTATAACCCACGAGGACGGTAGTCAGTGATATCTCTGGATGGAGAGTTTTACCTCACATAATTTTTTTAGATAGAGACTAGAAAGTTATTAAAGGATAGTTCTTACACTATGCTAAATTGCCTTTCCTCCCAGGAAAAGCAAGAAGAGTGGTTAGTCTTTGCCACATTTGGAGAACTCGCCACTTCACAATGAGGACATTCCACAATTGATTAATTGTCATTCACAATTCTAGTACCCTGTAGTGTTAGTTTTTTTTTCAATAAGCATTACATTCGGAGTCATTCCATTTTAATAATGTTGGTCATCTCAGTATTTAAAGACAGCCATTGGGTGCCTACTTGATCCAGTGTTTTCAGGTTTTTACTTTTCCTTAGGTGATGTTTCTCAGATCCCACAGTATTTTGTTTAAACCTATAGATAAACTCACTCTCAGTTAAAAGTGATTATGTTTACTGGAAGTGGATTTACAGGCTTATAGATCTGATCATTTGAGGAAGCAAATACTCACAGCCTTCGCTAAATTATTTGTGTAAGAGCTTCGCGTCTTCTCCAATTTGCTCTGGGAGTCATAACATTTTAAGTAATTTAGGTTGATATTATTACTATTGATATTACTTTATTTAAAATGAACTGACTTTTCTCTTGATAAACAACAGAAACAGATTCAGTGATAGGTTTATAGAATGTTGCTGCAGTTTTGTGTCCACGGAGTGTACATAGGCTTTTGAAGTGTGTACAAGTGAGTCCGTTTGTAGCGATGTGAACATGTACACAGGCCTTAATATGGAAAGGATTTGCTGGGAGATGTTGCAACTGCTGTATTTCATTCTGGAGAAACTGCCCAGTAAAGAGCATTTTATCTTCTAGTATTTTTCTCTCATTTTACCCATAAGGTGAAGAAACAAGAGAACGAGAAAATGTTGAAAGAGAATTAAAATTTTTGGATAGAAATATTTTCAAGGAGGAGAAATAAAATTTAGAAGGCATTCAAGTTTTTGAAGATGTAAAAATGTGATAAAAATGTCATTTTGTTATTTGTGGGACAAGAGTTTTTTTTTTTTAACTATTCATAAACACAGTACTGAAAGACTGCAAGACAATCTGTGAGTTTTTTTTTTTTTTGCAAGACAATCTCATACTGAAATACTTTTCTATTACATGAGCATCTGCATATATCAATTTTTTCCTCTCAACTTGTTTTTATGTGTCCCTCTTGCAAAAAATATCCAAAAAATGAACTACAAAAATATCTAGACATTCTGTCTTCAATATATTGTATTAGGAAAAATGTAAGTGAACTGTTATTATTTGTGTTAATATTATAATACTTTCTTAGCTTTTTGTGGAATCCTAACCTATAGTAAATGTTTCTGAAATAAGTTAAGAAACCTGATGGCTATTAACAAATCGTCATGCACTGTGCAAACAATTTTTTTGATCAATATTTGGAAAATATTAATTATACCGTACAAAATGAGATATAGGATTTGGAGGGAAAGCAAAAACTAAAATGCTGCTAATTTTCAGATTATTAATTCTTTTTATAGTAGATTAAGTATATAATCTTTATTCCATTGAGTTGTCTGCTTTATAATCTATCTGTGTAACTTTGACATTCTATTTGCCATTACTGTTCCTTTGTTGATCCATATACATATTAATATAATTCTAAATAAATAGGAAAATAAACTTTAATAATCTTGTTTCCATAGTAGGCTCTTAGTGAACTAAGGGCTTTTAAAATATAGCATTTTAGGCTCTGTCTTTTAAGATTCTGATTTAGTAGATCCAAGATGGATTGCCTAACATCAAGTTTCATGTATACTGTTGATTCTTGTAGTAGAAATATATTTGGAAAACATTGTTGCAAAATCCTTAAAAAGGCATGTTAAATATTATTAGTGTTTATTTGAATTATCCATACCACTTATTAAATTAACATAGATAATTGAATTGACTACATATATTTTAACCGAATGTCTTTTAAAATTAGAAAGTAACTGCTTTTCTCTAAAATATCAGTGCTGTATTTTAACTAATTCTCATTTTCTGTGTCATGTAACTCACTCAAAGTATTTAATACATTAAATCAATAATTTCATTTTATTTTCTTATATTATTCTTTAGCTTAACTAGATAACTGCAAAGTTGGTTTATGTTTATCTTCATAAAGATAAAGATATAGTTGAACTTACCTACATTTGTGTTTTATTTTCTGTTTGCAGAGTACAAGTTGAATTCTATATGAACGAAAACACATTTAAAGAGAGATTAAAGTTATTTTTCATTAAAAACCAGAGATCAAGTAAGTCATTCATGTCATACCCTTTCTATTTGTTTGTATATAACTTTACTTCAAAATTCCAATTGTGTATAATTTGTAAAATAGTTTTTTTTTATATAGAAGGATAAAATTGGTAATGAGGTTAGGAAAGCTATAAAGTTTTCAAAAGCCCTACATGCATCTAATAGTAGTAATATTCCTGAACACGTTAGATATTCAAACTCCACATCAGTAAATAGAATCCTACATGGACCATTTGGGTTTGTAGAAACATTAAACAATAATTTAAGTAAGAGATTCACATTCTTAAGTAATGAAGGACATCTAAAATTTCATAGCGTGACAAAACTCTGGAGGTTGATGTATTACAATGGAAAATATATGAGCCAATGAGGGAAGAATTCAGTGTTTCCCAATCATGACTAATAATAACACATCTCTAGTGCCCTGCCATAACAGGTTCTTATTTGTGCTTCACCTGTTGAATTTGAATCAGTAAGTGTGGGATGAATCTCCAAGTTTAACATCCTTATGATTGCTGTTATCAGATAAATTTTGAAAATACTTGAACTTCAAGAGGGTGTATGTTCTGCATAGTCACTACCTTGTTGAGCCCTTTCAAGGTGGAAGGGTCTGTGATATTTACTTCCTCACTATAATACTCCATATTTTAAGAAACCTTTTTATTATAAAACATGGCCCCTACTTAAAATGTCCAGAAGAAATGAGTTCTACATTATGTTTATGTAGATTTTAAATTCTGTGTTTTAGGTACCTGAATACTCTTGGAGTTCTCTAAGTCAAATTGTACCTTTGTAAGTAGTGTTCATAGAGTGATACCTGACTCATGGGAAATTATTTAAGTACTGACTATATGGATTATTTCAATATTAAAGGTATACTGGTCAGGTATTGTTGATGATGTACTAATTTTATGCTTAAGGTTGGAAATAATCACTGTCCTTTCAATTTAGTTGTTTTGAATTCCCAAGGCAATCTCAACAATAGGTACTACCAAAAGGGTTGCATCATCTGGATGGAAGTTTTCCTCTTTCTTTACTAGCAGTGTTCTCCAGAGCTTTGTTTGAATATTCAACCTGACTAAAGGTTGTATCTGTAAAGCAAGAACAGTTTTATTAATAATCTAGAAGATTATAAAGAAGTTAACCTACAAAATATACTTAGCATTTCTGTAGAAATACCTTAGAAAAATTAGACAATTAAGCATTAACCTTTTCAGTGTTAAAAAATACTACAAATATATTCATGTGCAGCAGAATTAAACAAAAAGTGACATTTCATTTCCAGATGTTATTAAGTAATAAATACAGGGAAGCATTTTTCATATGTTTTTCACAATATATAAATCAAGTAATACTGGATAATTGCAGGAAAAAATCATGTTCTCATTAATCAGACTTTAAGCGTATTTTACTGTACTTTATTTCCTCTGCTTCAGCAACACGTATTAAAGTCTGCACAGCTGTGACTTAAGTGATTTAAAAATATGTACTGTACATGGTGGTATTCATTTAATAAAATTTTAAAATTTCATCAGGATTTAACCTATTTAATAATAAGATTCACCTGCCAACTGAAAATGAATGTGTGTGTGTGTGAGAGAAGAGGTGTTTCTCAGCATAACCTCTTATGATTTCTCTTTATATATATCATTAATATATAGCATAGTTATACAATTAGGACATAATGATATAATGAACATATAACTTATATATCATGCTATAATTATATAATTAACATTTAAAATACTACATATGATTATATAAAAATAGTTATAATTTCTCTATAATCAAATATATAAAGCACTGAGAATGTCCAAGATTCACCCTGTGAATACAGAAGCATTTAGATTTTCTAGGTAACTGAAATGTGGACTTTCTGATGACTTAAACCTCTACTTTCAGATGTGACTGCCATTTGCAGTTCATCCATTCTACCAGTCTCACTTTTTTTTTTTTTTTTTTTTTTTTTGTCTTTTTCGTTTTTACTGGTACCAGGGATCGAACTCACGACTGCCTGCTTGCAAGGCAGGCACTTATGCCGCTGAGCTAAATCCCCAGCCCCCCAGTCTCACTTTTTGTTTCAATTTTCAGGTAATTAAAATTCAGCTACCAAGAATTTCAGTAACTTGAGACAATTACAGTATTGTAGTTTCTAAATACAATCTAAGTGCTGTACTTACAAGTGATTTTTTGACAATATCTTTTAGTCTTTTGTGAACTAAGTTTAAATGAAAATCAAATTTTTGTTGTTTGTTTAAAGGTCTAAGAATACGCCTGTTCAATTTTTCTCTCAAGTTATTAAGCTGCTTATTGTACATAATCCGAGTACTACTAGAAAATCCTTCACAAGGAAATGAATGGTAATGTATTTTTGTCTAAGCTTCAACAATATTTAAATATTTTTTGATTTATTAAATTTTGAGGGAAGATGTATAAAACCATGTTTTAAAGAATGTTGATGTTTGTCTCAAACTAATTATAAATATAATCTTTGTTGGTTCTTTGTAAATATTTCTTTCACTCCTTTGTCTAATGATAATCCTGGACTCTGATCCATGAAAATACCATTGCTTGTCCAAGTGCTGTAAATAATTGTTTAAAAATGGATCAATCTTTTTAAAGACCTGGCTACTTTTCTGTTCTAGATTTACATACATTTCCCAAACTTACCTTTCTGTTCCCTAGTTTTATAGATTTTTTCCAGTTATACTGCAGTAGTTCCCCTTGAGTGAAAACACTTCAGCATTTATTGAGATGAATTACTGAAGCCTCAGGTTTCAACTTTAATGATACAATTCTTTATCTTTTGAGTGAAATGAGATTGATTTATTGATTTATACTTAAAATGTTTTCTTTTCATATTCTGTTGCATTTATTAAATGGTATGTCTGAATACTTATCAACTTCCTTTTAAGCTCTATCCTTTGCTATAAGCAGTAAGGAAGGCACTCGGTGTGTAACAACATGTATAATGTTTTACTCTATTGGTATTCTGGACCCCTGCCCAGCCTACTAAATTTAGAGTGACATTCCAAGCATTAAACTAAAATTTGATGATTAACTTCTTTAGAACTATTTTTTATATGGAAAAAATTTTCCCCCAAATAATTAAAAAATAAAAATAATATGGAAAAATGAGCTCATAATAATGCATTTAAATTAAGCAAATTGCATTTTTAGACAGTAAAACTAATTTTGTATTTATTCAAAGTTTTAGAGAAGGGATAGATGTTAATAAGTAAAGTTTAATTCTGTAGTGATAGGTTTGATTATCCTTAATAATTAAGTGTAGTGTAATTGAGAATGTCCAGACTTCACCATGTCTTTTTTTTTTTTTTTTTTTTTTTTTTTTGGTCTTTTTTGTTTTTATCAGTACCAGGGGTCGAACTCACAACTGCCTGCTTGCAAGGCAGGCGCTTATGCCGCTGAGCTAAATCCCCAGCCCCAACTTCACCATGTCTTACTGAGTACTTAGCACGTACTCACATTACATGTTAAGAAACGTGAGTGAAGATAAAGAGGTTTATAGGACCATTCAGTACCTTGTGGGAATTCTCATTCCATGAAAAGGTTGCTCATTTTGGAATTATCATCATTTCTTGACTAGTTGCCTTATGTGTTTCATTTTCTTCACTGTATACTTTTTTATTATTCCCATATTAAATATGAAAAGGGAGGGTTTGCTCATTCTCTCCACTCTAAGATTTGTAACACTAATCTTGTTAGGGCTTTTATCTCTGTTTAATTCAGTGACCACAGGAAGACTTATCATTCTTCAAAATTCCCACTAACATTTACCTTTTCTACTTGGATGTCTAAAAGGCATTCTAGAGTTATCATGTTCCAATCAGCTTGTGTGTTCTTTGACATTTCAATTGATTGGCAACTTCATCTTTCTTCATTTAAACTGATAACAGGCCCATGCTAAGTTTCTTGGGTTGTGTGCTTTGGAGTCAGTCTTCTCTTTTGCCTGTAGTTTATGCAAATATCTTAAAGATTTGTCATTTCTACCTTCAAGATGCAGCCAGGGTACAGTCACTGCATAGTGCCACTTCCCTGGTGCATGCTTCCTTTCCTCTGCTGGATGTCTGCCTGAGCAGCTCACTGAGTGCCATTAGTTCTACCTTTGCTTCTTTTAGTTTATTCTTAGCATGTGAATCTTGCTGCCCCTCTCTTTTCAAAGTCAGTCTTTGACCACGGCTGGTAAGAATTCTTGTTCTCCCTGTAACTTCATTTCCTAACATTTACCCATTCTCCTCTAGTGACCTTGTTTCCTCTCTGGATCATATCAGGTACCGTGCTCTTGGGGCTTTTCACACAGGCTTTCTCTTCTGTCTGCCATTTTTACTTACCAGATAACAGAAGACACACTTCCGTAGGTCTTCACTCAAAGTCACATTAATTATGCTACTGAAAATTATAATCTTAAAAAAAAAGAAAATCGTAACCTAACAAGAACTTTTTGATTCTCTTTCAGTTTTTACTAGAATGCCTTTATTTCTTATATATATTTTGTATATTTTACATGGCTAGTTTTCTGTGCACCTCACGAGTATTAGATTGAACATGTCTTAATGGTATGGATTACTGAACTCCCATTTCCTGGCAAAAAATGGTATTGTTATTTGTTAAATAAATGAGCGAACGAATCCTAAAGTGAAGTTTCTTTACAGTCTTATCTTTGTTTACTTCACTTCACTACCCTCTTAGTTCAGTCTTGCTGATCTAGTTAAAGTCGGATGTGTTTATTTTATTCTCCTTTGTCTGTGATCTTATTCTTGTACGTAAGTTTTCCACTTGTTCTCCCCGCAACATCTCTTATGTTGACTTATTTCAAGACTATTGGTCCCTCAGGATAACAATTTCTTGGGAAACACTTTGTGGAATTCTTAGCAAGCATTACACCCTGCAGCCTAGTTCTGATTCTGAGTTAGGCATATCATATGAACACTCTCTGAACATCTGAAAATATATCTCTTGTAACACCTGGGCCTTATTGTATTTGCTTCTGTAGCTTTCATGCTTAGCACAGGACTTGATGGGTGAACAAATGCTGAAGTAGTGGATCTATGCCCACTAATTAAGGGGTCGTTTTTGTACAATGAAGATGATTGCAGACCATGGCTTAGAGATGTCAGTGTAGATTACATTTTTCTATTTGTTATTAAACATGGACCATGTAATAAATCCTTGTATAAATACATCAGAATTGTTTTTAAACTTCATAATTTATAAATGAAAGATACACTAGAGAGACCCACAGATCATAAAATTGTGCATGAAGAATCTTTTCAAAGGAAAAAGTGCACAAGTGGGTGATAGTAGGGTGAGATTATATTATTTGAAAACATTAAGAGGAGTAAAGTTTCCTACAATTATCTTCCATGTAATATTATCAGGAATATTCAGCTATAATTATAGAGGATATACATTTGAAAAATCAGATTACTGTAATTAAAAAACATAACAAACTAACTTATGGCTCCATTTTGAATGCAATGTTCTGTTTAGTTCCCATTGTCAGTGCAGTCTTGGTTAATGAGAAACAGAAGTGGCCTTTATGGACACAGGCTCTATTTTAAAATAATGAGTCTAATTCAGCAAAGAGATTTATCTAATTAGAGCTTCTGACATGATAAAGCTGCAGATAATTTTGTGCAGCTTTGCTGTATTTTTAAGTTCCTCCCAGGAATAAAAACTGATTGGAAAATGTTGCAGTTTGAATAAGCTGAAGAATATGAAATTAATTTACTCTTAATGTCTGACAATATTTAAATGGCAAACTCTGATGCATACCCAGTGTGTAGAAAGGACTTAAAGATTTTAGCAAAGCAAACACCTGAAGCAACCATTTATGAGTTACACCAAAATATGAGACATTAGGGTAAGACTTATGAGCTGCTGACGCTTGCAGTTTGTTACTCTGTGTCAAAATTCATACATTTGTTTATACATTTAAAATTATTGAGATGATTATTTGCTTGGAGCATCCTAAAGATACAGTCAAAAAGATCCTTACTTTAAGATAAGACATATTAAGAAAAGAAATTGAATTTTGACAATATTTAAAAATATTTGGGGAACTGTGGGAATGAGTATCATAAGGTATCATCACTTCATATGTATTGAGCATTGATCAAGTAACATCAAGGCTTCTGTAATTAGTCTTAAAATTTAGAAGGATTTTTTCTTTACCAATGAACTTTATTCTGGTGTTCTAGGTTATTGTCAAATTACACACACACACACACACACACACACACACACATATACCACCAACTTTTCATATCACATGCAAATATAAAATGTATGCAAATCACATCTTGTGACTATGTGTTATCCTAAAACCTTGGTCTTTGGTATCCTGTTTTCAGAGTGTAGAAAAAATGAAGAATATGTTTGTACTTTAAAACTACTTAGCAAATAAATGACAATTCTGACTTTTACCTGAATTTCGTATTCAAATAGTACATAGAGATTGATTTCATCATGCTCGGCCATTACTCCCACTGAGTAATGTAGTCTAGTTGCAGATTATTTTTCGTGCCTCTGAGGGGGAGAATGAGGGTTGACAATGAGTGAAAGCCACCTTGAGCACAGTCATGCTGTCTCATAATGAGGCTTTCTTTTGATAAAGGTTTCCTTCAATACTCCATATTTATTGCTCTCCTCACTCAGTAATTGCTTGTCTAACAAGAGATTAAGCATTTCCAGGTTTTGGAAAGGATTAAGTTACTAAAAGTTCTTCCTTATGTATTTTCTCGATTCTATGGTATTTCAGTGTCATGTTTTGGGCACCTTCTAAATATTTTTTGCTTGTCTTGAAATGTAGCTTTAGTACTATACCTAACACTCAGGATCTTGTTATTTGTTATGATTAAGACAGTTGTAGAAAATTGTGTATATTACAAAACTAATTTTCATGATAGTGTTGTTCAAAAAGGCACAATAGCTTATTTTGAAGGCTATTTCAAATTTAAATTACCTATGATATCTCTATAAAATATAAAAATAGTATTCTAGTCCTTTTAGAGATGCATGCCCAAACTACAATCCAAAACCCACTTATTTATTGCAAAGTAACAACACTACAATTAAACCTGAATACTGAGGTTTTGGTTTGAAAGAAACAATTCATGAATTAACATCTTTTGTCTTAAAAGGAAAACAAAAACCATGTGTCCATAGGTTCACCGCCACACTTCAAGACAAACAAATTCGTCCTCAGTTAGACATAATTAGATATTAGTAAGTAGATGTCAATTATTAATTTCTCTTTTGAAGTCACAGCAATGTATTTTCTAATTTTCCTCAGATGGCTGCCTACTTAATTACTGAAAAGTTTTTTTTATAGCATACGTTTGTCATCTACAAAAGCTGAACACACATTTTTCTTCATCTGGCATACTTTATTTTTGTGTGATTTCTGAGACATAAAAGAAATATTTTGGGAAGACAGTGAACTTATCAGCCTTATTGTTGTTGTCTTGACTGTCACCATTCATCATTTATATTGATCACTGTCTAAACTACTGAATGCGTGTACTCAGTAAGACATTGTGCTGATAATAATGAGTACCACTGACATATTATTTGGTGTTATAAAATTTGTAGAGTTTTAGAAGACAGTCATTAAAGAAATGTTTTCCCATGAATATAATTTCAACTGAGATGAGCAGCAAAAGAATTGCAACGGATGGCATGACCTAACAGATGAATTAAAAAGTCATTCAGCCATGAACTGGAAAATGCAGACGTTTGGGCTGAGTAACAGAGGATTCATCTGAGAGTTGTAGAATAAGGGAAGAGTAGGTAAAAGATGAGTCATAGAAAGGATCATGTTATATGTAAATAAGCATAAGACTGCCAGGTAAGGGAGTTTGTTTTTTGCCCTAGGGAAAAAATGTAAAATGGACTTACACTGGGGTGGTGTGATCTAAAATGCATTTGGGGGAAAATGTCATTGTAATTCAGAAAAAAAAAACTAGAAGATAAAAGAGGTGCAGGGTCTCATTTTTAGGTGTTGCTAAAAATGAGAAATTGGAAATAAAGGAGCTTAGAGGAAGGTGGTTTTGCTGGTAAGAAGTAAATATTTATTGGAAATAGTTGGAAAGAATTTGTATTAAGTAATTACAGATGTATGAGGATGGTATAAGGCGTTGCTCAAGTTTTTGGATAACGAGACACAATGGATTTTGTGTCACTGGGATGTGAAAAAGGGAAGGCAGGTCATTTTTTGGAAGAGTACAGGTTGAGTTTGAAGCAATTAAAGATGTTATTTAACCAGACAGATGTGATATGCTAATCTCCAGAATACTGTAGTCTAACATACTATAATCTGTCTATGAATAGTTTTTAAAAGTTTAATCATTCTTTTTCAAACAAAAAATTTGAAAGGTGTTTTGTTTTTTGTTACTCACATATTAGGAAAAAGTTACTTAAGCATGTGAAAATATACTTTGCGGGACTCTATATTTCATCATTATAAATAGTGAGTGGCTTGGTTGGGGGAGATTTATTTACTGGTGCCTGTAAGGAAAGGGCAATGATTTTCACTTTTTTCCTGAATAAGCTATATTGCCTGCTAAAGACTGCTGTTTGAATCAAATATAGTTATAATTGGTGGGACATTAAAACTGTTACAGTTTTCTCTTTTTACATTTTTGATTTTGTAGTACCAAAATCTTTGCAGGTTTAATAACTTTCAAAACATTAGAATCTACTGTTATTTATTAGGAAACTTTTCAATGGAGAATTGGCTAGTGAAGACTGATGTTTTATGCACTACCATATATCATTTTTAAACAATGATTGATTTTATTTTTATATATGATGAACAGTGACAAAAATTAAATTAAAGTTTTTAAGTTAGAAATGAATGTTAATAAAAAAGAAAGCTGAAAAATAAAGTTTTCCTATCTAACTTATATTTATCATTTTCATGCTATCATTCAAATTTGAATTTTAAAAGTGAATGGATTGTTCAAATTTTTATAAAGCTAACTTGTTTATCATCCCTTTTGTAGGTCTCACATCTTTTGGGTGAACAGAAGTCTACCTTTATGGGGCTTACAGGTTATGTATGACTTTGTTTAATCCCTATGTTTCTGGGATTATTCATGTTTCACTGTAATAATACTGATAAGTGTTGATACTCAAAATATGAGATTGCTTTACTACTCAGTCTTTATGTGTATCTTATGCTAACTTTTTGCTTGTTTTTTCACATTTTCCCAGTCCTTGAATTTTATTTTTTGAGAATTTTCTGATCATTGGGCTCGTATTGCAGATAGAGTTTGATAATATGGAATAAAGTAAACTAGTGTTTTAAGGATCCGTATTTTCCCTAGTTTCCTTACATAGTCCAATGTATTATTCCTTTAAAATTATTCAAATTTCACAACCATGTTTATGTTTTACCTTATATGCCCATTAGAACATAATAAAATCTCAAAGAATTGTTGTTAAATGAGCAACTGTGTATATCATTGGTTGTAACAGCTTTTTTCCTACGTAGGTAATTGTGTAAATAAAATAAAAAATGTGTTCTATCACGAAATACATTTTTATGAAAAGAGTAGGAATATATGACAGAGAAGAGCACGGCTGAGTTATATGGTTAGGAATTCCTTAGCATTCTCTGTACTTCTTCCTTGTTATTTTTTTCTATTAGATTTCATTCCGTGCAAAATTGTAATAAGGTGCCTTCTCATCTACATCTGTTTACCAACTATAGGTAATTTTTATTTTATTTTTTTAAAATGCAAATTAAAGAATATAATCTTTGGAGGAATATGAATGATCTTCACAACAATATTTGGTCTGTCTTTTAATATTATGATATTGCACAGTATGATATTTTACATGTTAGAATGCATTATTTTAAGTAGCACTGTGATCATAACTATGAACCCAAGTTTTTATTATTTCTGGGTATTTCATATTTTGTGAAAGTCAAGTTGTCTTTCATGTTTATTATTACTTACTTTTGTTGCAATGCTGTATTAAAATACAATCTTTTTCAAATATTTAAGAATTCATAAAATGGGGGGCTGAGGATTTAGCTCAGCGGCACAAGCACCTGCCTTGCAAGCAGGCAATCCTGAGTTCGATCCCTGGTACCGATAAAAAGGAAAAAGACAAAAAAAAAAAAAAAAAAAAAAAAAAGAGAATTCATAAAATGTTTTTTAATCTCTCTCAATGTTCATTAATAAATGTTTTATTGTTTCTCATGTACTATCTTGGCATATACTTTGATTTATTCATATTGCTTTTCTTTAACAATTATATTTTAAGGTAATACTCTTTTCCAAGTGGTATTTTGAATAACATGACAAATAGGTCCTAGATCTACCTCTAACAAACAGCATGGATGAATATAATTTATAGAATATGTAGAGAAAAGCAAAGATATTTATGTGTTATCATACTAACACTTAACTACTGAATACAATTCTGAAAATAATTTTCCTGTACTTATGTGCACGCTTCCATTTTTACTTTTAATAGTCACTTAAATTCAAAGTCTTTATTCCTATAGTAGGCAAAATAGAAAACTCTGGGGTATCTGCCTTTTCTCACTGAGATTGCCATAAACCAGTGGTAGTGAACATATGGCACACACGTTGTTTTTCTCTTAAAGGAAAAGATGTTAATGTATGAGTTGTTTTCTACACTAAAGCCTCAGTATTTAGGTTTAATTATATTGTTGCCATTGTGAGGGGAAATAAGTGGGTTTTGGGTTGCAGTTTGGTCAGTTGTCTCTAAAAAGTTCACTGTCATTGCCCTAAATCTTAAAAAAAATCTCTAAAATAAATTTATTTAAATCAATTTTCATATAGATGACTGGTTCAGCCTTCTTATGGTAGGGTAATATCCTATTGTTTGTGAATATCAGATTCTCTAAGTATTTTGAGGAATATATTAGACTTACAAACTTCAAGATTTTGTGTTCTCTTACATAAGAAGAACAACAAGAGTTAGGTACTATAAAATTGGGAGCTAGATCTTTTGGCAAATGGCAAGGTGACTAAGAGGTGAAGGGAAGGGAAGATGACAAGACGTAGTAAGAAATAAGATGTGTGTTTATATGCACATGTACGTGTACCAGTTCCTTACAGTGCATGCATTCATGAGGTACTACACACATGTACTCTCTGAAAAGCATTAATCTGTGCCATTTTCTATTTATGCGTGCCTGTTTGGTTGTATGTAGCTACGCAGCAGTAATTAATGTGTTTTAACTGGGAATAAATTCTACATTTAAAAATTGTTTTTAGTTGCCATGATATTTTTGTGGTAGTTCCATAGTAGAAATTGAACATACAAAACAGAAAAAAGCAAGTCCAGTCAATAAAAAAAATAGCAAACACATTTGGTGATATTGTTCTCTCAAATTAAATGTAAAAGTATCTTTGAATAATGCTTTGGGCTGTTTGGTTTGAGAATGTTACTTTACTTTTTTTGAGATGGATGATGTGATTGCACATATTCAATTTGAAACATTTTTCTTGTATTTTCTAAAGGAAAAGTGATCTTTTAGGTGTTGGTATTGCTGGGAAATGGCACTTATTTGTGCAAGAGCAGTTGTGTGTGACTGTGTGTGCTATGAACATACACAAAAAATAATCAAGTAATATATCATTTAAACTCCAGCTGCTTGATTTATACCTACCTTTAAATTGGGGGTAACAATAAATTGACTTGTTAAAGGTTCTAAAAATTATAAAAAATTAATCTGTATCACAAAGGGTAATACACAGTGTCCTACAACCTGTCACTTCTTTATAAGTGCTTAAGTGTTAATGCTGTCTGTGTCATATGTGTACATCTCAAACACTTATATATTAACACATATAAATACATATGTTTATGTAAAATTGACAATATAAATATGAACATATAGTTTATTGCACTTTCTCAGTAAGTAACAATTTGTGTTTTAGGTCTCAGTGGCATTGATAAGTCTGTTTGAAACCCTACTCCTTGGTTATCTCAGTTATAAGGTAAGTTACTTTAATTAACAATTTTCCACTATGGAACACACTGATAGCATTTACTAAGTGTTTTTTTTCTTCCTAATGCATGTTTGGAGATACAGCAAACTCTTTTCAAACCACTTTAATTATTCTGAGCCTCTCCAATATGTGATTAAAAGCTATGGTAATATAGTAAGTTTCCCTTGGTGTCTTAAAAATATTTCACTAGTTCCTGTGAGTTTTCTAACCCATTCCACACATACTAATAGTGAGGCAAGCAAGTGAAGTAGTCTGGCTTTTTATTGTTCTTAATCTCTTTCCTCAACCTTCACAAAAAATATTGAGAGAGCAAAATTATTTCTATTAGGAATTATTGTAATAAAGTATCTTGATTACTGGCAGAGTTTGGTTGGCTAAGACAATTTTATTAATACTTAGTGATCTTTGGATGAGAACTTCTTTTGATTGAGGTCTTTTCTTTGCATGGCTCTTTTATCAGTAAATTTATAATCAAGGAAAGGAAAAGCCATATGGATAATTATAAGTCTGAATAAGAGTGGTACATTCTGCTTATGTACGTTCTGTTTACGTAAAATTGACAATATAAATACGAACATATAGTTTATCGCACTTTCTCAGTGCTGTGAGGTCTCGTAGAAAGTAAATTCAGTGCTGTGAGTTCTCAGGAAGAGGTCATCCTTTAATGCAAAGGAAATACTTGACTGACAAGCAGAAACCTTGGATTATAATGATTTTAATCAGGCAAAATGAAATGACATGACAATTGGGATTGATAGAATTAGCAAAGGGATAAAGAAAGGAATGTACAGATGCATATGAATTGGAGAAACAGTAAATACTACAGATTGCCCAGTACATGGGGGTCTTGTGTAGCAACATACAATGGAAAGGTTAACATAAAATATGAATATAAGAGTTTTACAATACAAAGCCAGTTTTCAGATTATTAGTTTAGAACTTCTACACATCACATGCAAAGAGACATCACAGTGATGACCATGTACTCACTTATGGTATGTTACTTTACAGAAGAAAAACCAATAGAGAGTTTTTGCCTCAGTTGCCAGATTTGATGAAAGATTATGAAGGTAATAGGTAAAGAAACCATCAATTTACTGAGATAGATCAGGAAAAGAAAATTAAAATGCCATTTTAAAAGGTATTCCGAGTGTGAATGATTGAAAATGTTGCTGTAAACTGAAGAGAATAATATAAAGAAAAAATTAGAGGAGATAGACAAGACAATGGGATTGGTTTTGGAGATGATGAATTTGAGTTCCTGGTGAATAATTAGATACACTTGACATGTAAACAATTGAGAATGTGGTTCAGGAACTTTCAGGGAGCTATTTATTAAGATGTGGCAGTCATTTTAAAAGAGATAATGAAGGAAGTCATGAGAGTCTCATGCATAGGTTAATCACTGATGTAGAAACTAAGGCTCCTGTTGATTGCAAATGCTTTGTAGCAGGCAACCAGCAATCAGGGAAGACACAGAACTTGACAAAGGCGTGAGAAACGATTACTTTTTATTCTCAGTTCCTTCATCTGTATCACCAAGTGTGTTCAAAGTTTTCTAACTTATCTAATATATCAATTTCTTTTCCACCTTTTGAAACGTAGTGTTTGAGCATGCATTCTTCAGAGTATTCTTCAAACCTAAATTTAGAGCAAAAAGTTTTGACCAAGTCATTTTTTTTGTTTGCTTTAATATTTTTCTTTTTAATTGTCATTTCTATCTTGCACAGACAGTAATACAAATTTCAACTGAAGTTAAGTCTGGTAAATAGGAAATTGCGAAAGGAATAGACTGAGACTCTTACAAAACATTGGTTAAATATTCATGAAAAGAAATGTGTTAGAAATATCAAAGGACGAAAAGTGTGATGAAATTAGGTTAACTGTAGGAATGTAAGAAGCATGAAGAAAAAGCCATTGAGTTAGGAGATTAGGAGGTGATTTGCTTTTCTCCTACGTGAGGCAAGTTTCAATAGGAAACAACTGAGACAAATCATTGTTAAGTGGAGAATGTTGATTCACTGGGGTAGGGGCTTATTAGAAGTAGTAGAATGAAGTAGGATGGTTTTCTAGTGATGGAAACCATTTGCGCTGATAAGGAAGATACAGTGAAGAAGAAAACGTAACTGAAGATGCAGTTTATGAAAAGTAAGAATAAGCTGAAATAGGAACCTAAAATTTAAGAATGAGCTTTGGAAAGTATTCTTTTTTGAGAGGATAGATGGTTTATGAGAGTTAAGGGAATATTTTAAAATTAGTGTAAGGAATTGAAAGATAAAGATGCTAGGGATCACACATATCAAATGGAAATCATACATATTAAAATTATTTTAAAAGTGCTGGTTCTTTAAAGGGTTTACAGACTTCTGAAAGAGTCTTTGAATGATTTATTAGCATGTCTCTGTTAGAATATGTCCTTGTTGCAAACCTGGATTTTGGCTGCCTAACAAAATAAGCAAAACAAGACAACATAATAAACTTACATTAAAATCTCAGGTTTTTTCTTGAAGTCTGTTAGTATGCAATGTGTGATGAATGTTGAATAAAATGAATACAAACTAACATTTTTAAAAAACCAAATGTGGGTTTTTGAGTCGATGAATTATGTCTCTTTCACTGGTAGTATAGTATTTGCAGAAACCTAACATGGCCAAAACATTAATCTTCATTTGTGAATGCTTTGCTCCAAGTTTTAAAAGCAATATGAAAGTAATTTTGATGTTTTGTTAATAGAACTCTTAGTGTTAATTTAAAAAGTCATTTATAAAACATACAGAAATTCAAGATAATTTTCTAGTGCAATTATATGATGATGGAATTTATAATTAATTACTTCCTATCATTTATGAAATGAAAGAAGAATATTAGAAGCCTTAGCATGTAGGACTGAATGATATAAAATATTTCCATTCCAACCCTCAAGAATATTAATGGCTTGATGGAGGAGGGGTAGATGTTATGAAGTTCATTGAATTACAAAGGAAACAAATGATGAAAAAGTTTTGTGACAGAAGAAAGACAAATTGTTGTTAATTGTTTTCTTTCATAAGCATAATAAATCCCTGACATATTTTGACTTCTTCTGTGGAGTGGTGGATAATGTTTTGGAGTGGATACATTAGTATCTGTAAATATCAGGGACTATAATATGGGAAATTTGAAGAGCAAAATTTAAGATTTACTCTTCTTTTACTGAAAGTTTTAAGTATCAGTATTAATGACATTGATATATTTTCTTAAATTTTGCATGTATACATGTAATGTTTATATTTAACATTTTGAGGTACATTGGTAAAATATGCATGGATTTATAATTCTTGAAATTAGACATTCTAAAATCAGCATGACAGTTTTGAAACTATTTAAACTCTCAGGATATCAAGAATGAACTTTGAAAACCTTAAAAATCCATGTAAGGTTTGAAGATAATAAATCCAAATCTGTGGCACCAACTAATTTCATTTTCTATGATATGGAATTGTAAGTCTATGCTTCAATCATCTTTTCATTCATGTTTATAGCTAGTTGGCAGAATTATCACAGTAATTGCCCAGCACTAAATTTCCTATTCTTCTGTCACCGTAAATACCCCTCTCATTGTTTACCAACTGCTTTCAAAATAGAGCTCTATTTATGCACATGTATTCACTAAATTTAAGAGAAACAAAAACAAGCCCCTTCATAATTTTAAAACCTCTGCAAATAAAAATTCATTGTACCTACAAGGCTTTTGTTAATTCTCCAGTGATTGTTGCCATAATCACTTTAGGAAAAGAAGCGATTTTGAAAATTAAACAGCACTGTAACTTATTTCTGGACAACAACAAAAGAGTTGGTCCAGGAATCTTAGATACTCCTTTGTACTATTGATTCTGCTTACCATGCTCTGAAATGGAAAATAAATATTCTTGAACTTACATTTGATGTCTTGGGATTACTGTATTTTATATTCTCTTAAAGAAGATAAATTATCAACATTTTTCACTGAATATGTTCAACATAGATATTTTTAGACATTTAACAGAACAGAGATTATAAATATTTCCTGTAGTTTAGGTTTACAAACAAATAAGTTGCCATAATATAACTCATAATTTTTTTGGTCTTTTTCCTTTTTATCGGTACCAGGGATCGAACTCACGACTGACTGCTTGCAAGGCAGATGCTTATGCTGCTGAGCTAAATCCCCAACCCTTATAACTCATAATTTTTAAAGTCATCTGTAGAGCTACCTGGGTAATATTTCCCAATTTCTTTTTCGCTTGATGGTAAAAATAAAAATCTAATACATTTTAGGAAAGCCACATATTATATTAGCTTTTGTTAAGACATAATACATCCAAGCATAAAGTGAAATGATTGGATTAAGGTTCATTTATATTTTGTTGAGTTCTGACAATAAAAAGAATGAGTATCATACACTTAGAACTGATAAAGGTACTGTTTTGAAATAGTTTTTTTTTTTTTCAAATAGTTACATTTTGGAAGGAGACTAATGCTTTTTATTTCTGTCACCAAAACGATTAAGTGAAATACTTAGTATAATTTTGAAAGGCACTGGTTGTGCCTTTTATATTTTATTTCATACTTCTCTACATGGTAGAATTCTATGGATGCATGCTCTTTTTTATTGTAATTTCTTTTATCTTATAGATTTTCATGATATAGGTCTACTGAGATTTCATCAGGGTCAATAAAATTTATAGGTCTATTCTATATATACTTTTTTCATTTACTATTTTTAAGAGAGCTAATGTATGAGTGTTTCACTTAGTTCAGAAGACAACTTGAGTTGTTAGAATTAAACTCAGTGAATGTAGCTGAAAATATATGCATTTATTTTTAGCAAGAAGCAGGTGGTTACTTTCTGCATTTTTGGACAACAGAAAGCTGTTAGGGTTGGGGATTAAACTCAGCTGCACAAACATCTGTCTGGGGAGCATGAGGTCATAAGTTCAATCCCCAATAGCAAAATAAATAAATAAATCTAAATAGCTCTCAGTAGGAAGTTCATTCACTTAACACCAACCACACAGTAACACATATTCTCTGATTCAGCAATACCATGACTGATACCGTATAGTGATAGATTTTATTTAGGAGCTTCAGCTTTTTGAACACTGTGCTAGCACTAGGTGTATCATTGTGAATTATACCATTTCTGGTTATCTCCTTGTGGTGTTTAATATCTAATTCTGTAATATGTGAGGTATATAAGTAAAGTTTGAAAGAAACTGATAGAGAATCAAAAAGCCTAATGTCTTGGTCAGATGTTACCTACAGCCAGTATGATGAGGACATGAGACAATCTTGGAAAACTCAGAAGAAATTAAGTAGGGAGCTAAAAGGCGTATAAGAGTTGAATATGCAAAGTGAAGTTGAAAAGAGAATATTTTCCAACCTTCTTGAAGAGTTGTAAACAAAGGCATATATTGAGCAGTGTTGCAGTGTTGTATGTAAAGCCTTTTTTTTTCTTGGTACAGGGAATCGAACTCAGGGCTTCATATTTGTCAGGCAGGCATTTTGCCAATGAACTACACCCCTAACCCACAAAGATGTATATTAAGACGTATTTTTAAAGCCAGTGTGTGGGAGGAATGCCCTTTAAAGTAAGGGTGGCAAAGTCAACAAGAACCCATTGAGAGTGCTTTGTAGGTTTGTTTTTGTTGTCAAAGCGTGAATGATTTAAGTGCTTCAAAGTGAGTAGTAACTGAGTTTGATGAGAACGCACGGGATTGGCCTATGAGATGCAATTTTAAAATTATGGTCCTCTTAATACAAAGGATGAATCAGAATGGGGTAACAGTGAAGGGGTAGATACTACATAATTAGGAGACTTGACTAGATCAATGTGTGAGAGTTAAACCAGAATAAAAACTGCCCAACTACAAGACTGATTTGGATAACAGTAGACTTCTTCGGAAATTTGTACATAGGTAGCAGTGAAGATGAAAAAGTTGTATAAAGGATATTTTCTTGTGTGTATAACTGGGAGCCCAGTTATGGAACAAAGAACATTTTTATTTATTTTTATTTTTATTTTTATTTTTTACAATTTTTGCTTTTGAATACATTACATGGAAGATACTTCTGAGTCGTCACTATGAAACAATGGTTTAGGCAGACCATCTGAGTCCAAATCTGAGAGATGAACTATTATTCTGAGATAGATATACATTATTAGAAATCATATGCTTATTATGATTAGAGATAAAGCAAAGATGAAAATGCCTAAGACAGATATATAATGTAGATTAAAAATTATTGAACTCTTTCTCTCTAAAATTTTTCTATTGAACTCTGGTTATAAATTTAAAGATTTATTCATAAATACATTCAGGAAGGTTTTAAGCAATGAAATTATTTCCATGTGGACCATTACAAAAGAATATAACTTCAAAATATACGTAACTTCAAAATATAGAACAATCATATTAAAATGCCTAGCAGATGTCTATAATATTTGGAAATTTAATTTATTCATTTATATACTGAACTGAGCACCACATGTATAAAGGTATAAATTCACACAATTTTATAAGCACTTGTTGAGATTCTAATGCGGCATGGGAGTAAGACACTTTCACCAAAGGGAGAAATGTGGACACTTTTTCCACAGCATAAAAAGGATTAAAGCCTGTCTTATCCCAGGATTGCATAAAATGCATTGTGGGATAACCCTGGGTGAATCTGGAATGAACAAAGTATTGTAAGTACAAGCGAAATCAGTAGAGTTCAAACTTTGAAGCTTTGTGTAATGTGAAAAGTTTAAAATTTGCTATCTTCATGATAGGAATTTTCCATTAAAATGAATATTTTGCCTTTAGTATGAAGGATACATTAGAAATGAAACCAATCTTGTTAGATACCAGTTATAAGAGAAATCATATAAAAAACTAGTTTGTTTTTCATGAAAGTGAGAACTCTATAAGATGTAAAAGGTTTTGCTTATAACAAACTAAACAGTGTGCCTCTGTAGCTAGAAAAGCTAATACTAACTTTGATGTATACTAATAAAAATATCCTTCTGTATCATCAGTAGTAACTATTTCCTATATCCTTACTTTGTTTGCAAGGTGATCAGTTACTTTTTTGTGGTTACTGGTACAATGACAAATAGCATGCAAGGAAAGAGCAAGCCAAATGTTAAGCACTGTGAAAACTATGCCAAGTAAAACCTGATGAAAGAAAGAATATCATAATCACTCAGTTAAAAAATGATATAACTGGGGCTGGGGATTTAGCTCAGCAGCATAAGTGCCTGCCTTGCAAGCAGGCAGTCGTGGGTTCGATCCCTAGTACCGATAAAAAAGAAAAAGACAAAAAAAAAATGATATAACTAAAATCATTTATAACTGGCACCTTGAATATCTTGGTTTAGTGACAGTAAATCAAAACTAGTCTTTTGACACTTCTGTATATTTGTGCTGATCAGTTAGATTGATCAGCATATGCGACAATTCTCATCTAATGAGGCCTTAATTTGTGTTCAGTTCATACCCACATGGGACTGAGAATCATCATAGAACTATTTTCTATTTCTATTTCCTCTCATTTTTGATGTCAATGACTTGAGACCCTCAAAGCAGAGGAAGAGAAGGGAGTGTGGTGCAGTGGGGTACGGGATGAGGTTGCTGAGTGCTCCGTAGGGTTCTGGTGTTGGGTCACTCTGCAAGTGCATACCTGTGCAGGTTCTTTCCCTGTAGGGCTTTTGTGCCTTCACCTGGGCATCTAGCTTGAGCTCCCTGAAATCTCAGTGTCAGCAACCAGTCACAGTGCTCTGACACATACTAGGGCTCCTGAGATCCACCATCTATCAAAGTTAGGTTTTATCTTTAGGTATTCGCAATCTTGATTGTGTTCGTTTAAAAAGGACTGTAGTTTCCATTCTTGTGGTTACTGGTACAATGACAAGTAGCATTATTGGAGTGTGTTTTTCTCATAAACAGGCTCTGATGTCTTACAGTTGGAGATTGTGACTTTTTTAGAAAATCCAGTACTTTTTTTCTTTCTTTTCAACATTTTTCCTCATGTTTTGGTGTGAGCCAATTATAGTAGCATGCTTAAGACAAAATAGGTAAATGAGTCCTTTGAATTCTTTTTACTAAGTTTGGGGCAATGGGAGGAGCACCAGAGCTTATATATAGAACTTCTATACACAGATGTTCTCACGGTTCCCCTTTTCTCCACTTGCTTTCTCCCGTACCACTTTTCACATAATCGGAATTATCTAAAAGTGAGACTATCTGATGCTAACCAAACCTGTCAGTCTCCTAACACATAAGAAATAGCCATCTAGGGGGCTGGGATTTAGCTTAGCAGTGTAAGGTGCCTGTTTGGCAAACACGAGGGCATGAGTTCAATACGTGGCACCAAAAAAGAAATTAAAAAAAAAACAATAAAAAAGAAATATCTGATTTAGAACCTGGCTTTGGGTTGTGATCTACTATTGCATCACTGTAATTGGGTCCTGAAGAAACATTAAGATTCTCAATTTTAAATTAGTGCAATAAAATAATTGGAAATTATAAGAAAGCCGTATTTCCAATTGATTTTCCAATAAATCTCTTCATAGAAGAGTAAACTACTTTAGGAAATTCTGAGTTCTTTCTCAGTGGATACTATATTAGTCTGTTTTATATTGTAATAACAAAATATCTGAAGTTAGAAGGCTTATAAAGAATAAAAGGGCTTGTTTATCTCCGTCTAGGAAGTTAAGACTCTATCTGTTTAAGGCTGTTTGGCATGTGGTGTGGTCCTCATGGCAGAAGATATTTATTCCAAGGTTGTAGTGTGAGCAGAAGAGTTTACATACTGACCCAAGAAGCCAGAAATATTCATAGACCAGGCTTTTTATTTAAAAACCTGAATGTGCAGCAACTTGCTGGATCTTAGAAGCACTGTATTAAACTATCAAAAGTGTCCCATAGCCCAGTTACTTTCCAGTAGTCCCTATCTGCTAAGGCTTACACCATCCCTTTGTCACCACACTGCAGAACAAACTTCTAGCAAATAAACATTCTGTAAGACACAAGGAAAACATATTCCAGCCTTGGAGGGCACCATTTAAGAAAGTTTCATTGATAATTTTTTAATACTAGGTTCAGTTTCATGGCCCTGTGATTGTATATTTGCACAGGGATTCATGACTAAAAAGGCACCATGACTGATTGAATATTCTGATATAACCTTCTGGAAATCGTTAAAAAATTGTTAATAAGAGACCTCATGCATTTCTTTTGCATGAGGCTCTCCACATTATGTAATTAGTCCTAATAACATGCTTTGTGGGTTGGGAGATTAGAGAAAGCCCTTTCTTTAAATTTGATTAGAATAAACATATTTACACCAAATATTATTTACAAGCATGAGTATTTTACAAACTAGAGAATATGTTTTACATTGAGTATATATCATTATAGTAATAAATGATTACTACTACAGTAATAAACAAAGCTACTTTTTAATTGGCTCTATGTATTTTGTTAATTTATTTTAATTTCACTAATAACTTTCTTTTGTAACACACTATAGGTTTCAAAAGTTATATATACTATCTGTGAGTTATAATGAGCGATAACTTTACATGCTACCAAACAGAGACCACCCTTACACTTAGGTTAAAAAAAATCTCCAGGTCATTGCTACGTTTCTATGAAGTGATTATTTTGTTAATGTAAGCATCTTTATTACTAGAGAAATTCTAAGGGTTCTCTTTTTCCCTTTTTAATAGGATTCATTATAATTTACTTTCCTTTTTATTCATTCTTTCTTGGAAGGGAAACATCTGGGAACAGATTTTACGAATACCCTTCATCTTGGAAGTAATTAATGCGGTTCCCTTCATTATTTCAGTAAGTCCTACAAGCTTAAAAACTCAAAATTTTATTATTAGCTTTAAGTAAATAATTTAAATCTGCATATTTTTAAGTAATATAGCAACTTAAAGATATTTAGACAGATTAGAATCATAATTCTGAAAAATAAAAACAAATGGATAAATGAATTGTTGTGTAACATGAAATCTAACGAGATTTTGTATAATAACAAAATGGATTTTTTTCCCCAAAAAGTACAGTTGACAGGTATCATGTGAATAAATGTCAGTACACTCTGAAGTGACTCAAAATGACTTACTACTTTGCCTATTTATATTGTGGAGTTGCTTAAAGTAGAACTAATTAGATCATCAACTGTTTATAAATGTTTCTCATACTGAAAACATTTATTTCCCATTTAGCTACAAGATTTATTATGTAAATTCTCTCTTTAGTAAGAAAGTTGTCAAAAACTAGACAAGTGTCAGTTGGCTCTTTATCAAAGTACTATGTAGTACCAATTCCACAGTGAATCTATTTAATTATAGTTCCATAAATACGTAATTCAGCGTGTATCTATTTGCAAAATTAGGTTGTAAACTCAATTTTGTGAAATAGTATCTTTTGGTCTTAGTCTCTAATACTTTATTTGAATTTTATTTGAAAATTTTTGCATGAGAATTATCTGAAGCTATTGCTCACTTCTGACAATTGTTTCGAGTGTTTTATATACAGTGGGAACCATAACTAGATTAAATGACAAGCTAATTAAATATAATTCCAACTGAACATAGATTACCAATGTCACATAAAGTGGTTGAATCTGAAGATAATAAATTGTAATGTTCTAAAAGGCAAAGCCTCTCTCTTTTTTGTACTTACCACTTCAGAGGCAGAGAAACAATGTCTATTGTAAAACAACATACTAAAATATTTAACGATTGAATTAGCATAGCTATGTCTGACACCTAATGAGAGCACATTGTTTTCTTTATCCCCCTGCAATAAGTTCCCTTAGAAAACTTAGATAATGAATTATCTAATGAAAACTTAGATAATGAAACATTCATATTTACTCCTGATATTTAATAATGCATTTCAGTTATAGGACATGTGTCTCAAATGACTACATTAGGGTAAGATAGTTATATTATTAATTGCTATTAGTTCATTGAAAACAAGGTTTGTACCTATACTGTGTGATCATTTTTCATGCTTATATTTTATAATACGAGCAACTACTTAAAAGATAGCAATATACAATGTACTGATCATTGTTATTTCTATGATCTTGTTTGAAATTTTGTATCACTGTTTTTGTTTTTTTTTTCTTTAAAGTAAAAATAAAAATAAAATGACTACATTGTCTTTAATACATCTCACTTGGTTATGTATTTCTTTTTAATTTGATAAGTACTTCTCTTGGTATGTGCTAAAAATTTAATTTTGGTTTGTATTTCAGATATTCTGGCCTTCATTAAGGAATCTATTTGTCCCAGTCTTTCTAAATTGTTGGCTTGCCAAACATGCCTTGGAAAATATGATTGTAAGTATAAAAATTAAGGGAAAGTGACACAACAACAAAGAACCCTAATATTTTTCAATCACTCACTTTTTCTACTTCCATTTAGCGCTGGAATAGAGACGATGCTTAGGGGTACAGTGTTTTGCTTTCTCATTCTGTGTCCTCACATAAAATGTTAACCATGTGGAATTTTGTTATAAATTCTTCAAATATTTTAGTTTTACAGCTGTCAGGTTAAGTTAGTGTCTTAGTAAATAATTTTATTTAAATATTAAAATATACTCTGCTAAATACTGTTAAAGTGATCTACATATTAAATGTTGATAAATCTAAAGTCAGTGACCTGCTATATCCTAATCAGAACAAAACAGCTTGCAAAATATTACCAAATTACTACCTTTGTAGAGTCCTCTGACTAAAAACAAAAATTGGTTCAGATTTTTTTATTTCATCAAATGGACATATCAGTGTTGTTTGGAGTGGTGTGATGGGTTGGCCAATCTTCTGAATACAAATATTCTTCCCTTCAAGGCAATCTGTTCATTTATAATGAAACTCCATTTTAAGGATTAAAGGAAGTGATTTTCTCAAATTGCTCTTAATTGTACATAGTTCATGTTCCATGAAAATCTGTTGGGTTTTGTAAGCCCCCATACAAGAGCTAGAAATCCCTTATTTAAAGCCATTCTTTTAGATTTGTTGAGTTGGGGTATTTGTGGGATATTAGAAAATGGAAAGGAAAATGAAGCAAAGTGTTGCATAATTCAGAGCTATGCTGAAATTGCATTTTGCCTAACCATGACCCTGTTTGGGAGGAATGGTTTATACTGTAAGCCCTCAATACTTAGAAATGAAATGTAAGACATCTGTTTTGTCATTCATTTTACAAATGATAATAAAGGTATACTATGTACTAAACATTCTAACATGCAAATTAACTTCTCTGCTAACATCATCTACAAAAGAAAATAAAAGCAAGTACATTACAACCTTGTTGCAAGAATAAAGTGGAAAAAATATATATAAATGTGTGGTACTGTTTTATATACAGAAACACAGTAAGGGCTCAATATTATTAATTTTACTGAGTTACAAATTGTACTTTTTGACAGCAAACTTTTTGCACATTTAAATGTTCTTTAAACAGATATTAGGGCAAAAGTCTTGGCCAAAAAAAGCTATGTGAATAACATATCAGTGTTCACAAAGCATGTGATTGTGGGAGAGATTTGACTTAGAATGGTTTGCAGAGATAGTGGGCTGTCTTACTTGTTACTTACAGTGCTTCCAAGGAAGCACTGTTTTTTGACTACATGTGGCTTTCTAAAATTTCTAATGAAAAATATACCAGGAAGCAACTGAATCTCTTTGTTAATTACTATCCAATTAGTTGTTGAAAAAATAATCTAATGAAGATAGGATCCATTAGTCATTCACTGAGAGAAAATAACTGTTTTGCAATCTTTACATAGAATTTATTCCTATTTTCTGTCTGTATTTTGTTTCTCTTTTGCTGGGTATTAAATTTTTGTTTTCTGATCTTTAATCACAGCCATATAGAACTGAAGGGTGAGAGATGAAGTCCCAATAAATCAATTTAGTTGTTTTCATAGGACTTGTGACATAGGAAAATAAAATAATAGCTCACCAAGATCTTTTCAGTTAAGGAACTTTTTTAACTCAATTGTATGTGTGTTCTGAAAAAGAAATTGAATTGAACAGAAAATTGTAAAAAAAAATTTAAATCCACAAATGTATAATATAGACTAAATATTCATTATAAGTTCTACTGTTATGCAAAAATATGCTCCCATGGCATACATAAAACTTTACTGTATTTTAACCCATACATTTGGAATTTTTAAAAATCCTTAATACGTAGTGGAAAAATTGTCATTATGTTTTTCCAAATAATTTTTTGCTGAATGTGTCATAACCTATTACATAAATATTGATCCATTTATTTAATCACTTTTGTTATATATATATTTTTTAATAATAGAAAACATTTATTATTTCAAATGATATCTATTATGATTTTGTAATAAAAATATATGTGCACAAACATTGGTCATCATTAGTGACAGCTTTCATGTTATTAAGTTTTGGAGATTGAATTGGATAAATGAATGAACATATAAATAGAGAAGCCAATCTCATAAGCTTTGATATATGTTACTAAATTGCCTTCCAGAAATTTGTAAACATCTAAGTGACATTGTATGTCAATGTTCATTTCTTGCTCCTTAAAGGATACTATATATTATTATTTGTTATTGTTTGTCAAGTGGAAAGATAAAAAGTACATCTTGAATTAATTTTTCTTATTGATATTATAAAACATTAAACTTTAAAACGTTTTGACCATTGAATTTTTTCCCTTATGCTTCCCCTGTTGTTTTTATTTTTAATAATGAACTTTGTAGTTCTGACCAGTTATTACTTCCTTTTTAATTGAATATTTTAATTTTTGATCTTTTGAAATTAGAATTTTCTATGAGAAATCATTAGTCTGGGAGGGTTTTGTGGAAGTGTTACATAGATTCGGGTTTCTGCAATGCCAGGAAAGTGAAATATAGTGCTGCAGTGATCGTCCCATACTTGGAACATGGCATGCTACCATAAGTTGCATTTAGATCTAGGCAGAAATGCAAATATCCATTTAAAAGTTTATGTTACTGCAATATGTATGTTATGATTATTGTATTATTGCTGTAATGTAATTAAGAGATAAGTTTAACTGTAATATGCTTCTTTCTGTATTCTTCTAGAATGATCTGCACAGAGCCATTCAGCGAACACAGTCAGCAATGTTTAATCAAGTTTTGATTTTGATATCTACATTACTATGCCTTATCTTCACCTGGTAAGATAGTACATGTCAGCATTTTTATTGTATTCCTTTTGTATATTGTATTGAAGGAAACTATTATAAACGTTTTATTAGTAGTGGAATAAAAATATGTTCAACATAAAATATAGCAGATCAATACAGATGTTAAATAAAAATAAAATTCATCTTTTAGTCTTACAGAAACAAGAAACTACCTATTAGTGAGTGCTGATATTACTGTAGTACTGACATTTTCTTAAATTCTGTAAATAGCTAAATCACAGGAATTTGTACTGCATGCCATAGTTGTCAAACAAGATTTCTTCCTTCACAGCAGAACTCTGTTGAGAAACGTGCCCTGCTCATCACTGTCTGTGCCCTGTGCTACATCTACGTAATGCGTTAGAGTGTAGTCAGCTGGACAGCAAGGGCATATATCCTTATAGCGCAGGCCAGGCCTGACATATGACTTCCTTGTAAAACAGAGTCATTGCTTTTTCTGGAAGTCACATTCTGACAATTATCAAGTAATCCAAAGGGAAATAGTTTGTTATACATATGGATTTGCACCAACACTTAGCAAGAGAAAAAAAACAAAAATTAAAAAATGAAGTAAAAATAGTATTCACTTTGTAAGAGTTATAGATTTTCTCTGTAGCTGTTCTGTACTCTGGTTTGACTCTGTTGAAAAAAAGATAATTGATAGGTGCTATAAAGAGAAAATGCATATAACATTAGTAGTGTTCAAGTGATATTTAAGCTATATTTAGACTATAGAAGTGTATGTGTAAATAAGCTTGGGAGATATTTTGCTTCAGTAGTATGCGGGATCTCTACTAAATGCATCTTCAATGTATTTGTTTCCTATTTTTGTGTTTAAAAGTAACATGCTCTTAGATATTTAAAGTGTAAGTTGTATAATACCATATGAAAATTTACATAGTATCATATTATTTGAATTACCCTTTCATAACTTGCTTTTTTGATTTATCTAGTGAATGTGTAACTGCATAAATAGGGGATGATGCATGTACTGACTTCTCTTTTAAGGTGACTAAAGTTCTTAATTTATACATAATGGTATTGTTTGAATAGCTAAGTTTTCTCATATTAGATTAAAAAAAGATTTAAAGTTAAAAACTTATGTATGTATATGTAAATGCAAATTATCCAGTTGCTAGATAATCCAGAAGTTAAAATTAGTGAATTCTGTGTATATTGTGATAGTCTCCTAAAGTAAATTATTAAAAAGTAACTAGCTAAGGATGTAGTCCACTTGCTTATACTATATACAAGGTCCTGGAATTGACCCATAGCACTGGGAAAAAAATTATTGAGATGTTCTTGCCAAAATTAAGACTACTAATTTTTCCATGATGACATATAACAGTGCTTTTGTTCTGAAGGCATTCCTAGCACAGTAACTCTTGATCTCCATAGCTTCCTACTTATTCTTAGACTGTCTACTACTTCTATTTTTGAGCAATTTCTATTTTCAAAGAAAGCAACTAGACAAATTTTGCTTCTTTTATATGCTGAAGGAGCTAGTAGTGCCAGAAAAAGTTTTCACTATATAAAATTTCCATTATAAATTTCTTAATCATCCAAATAATGTGCATTTCATTTTTCTGCCAATGTAGCTGCTGTTTTTATTGTTGTTTATGGATTATGGGTAGTGTTTATGGGTTATCGTGTCAGACACTTAATTTGATAGATTCTTTTTTTCAGTGTTAGCACTGTCACCAAAATGAAGAATTGACTCTTTAAGTGTAGTAATTATGTAAACTTATGTTTGGCTGAATAAAACAAAAAGTAATTGCTACGTAACATATATAACATGTATACTAATAGATTTTTACATCATATCATCTAGGATCTAGGGTGGTGAGACTGAAATTTGATTTATTTGTGTATTGTTAGGCATTACAGTCTTTGTAGGTCATGAGCATCATAAAATGCATAAGGCTTATTTGAATTTGCCATTAAAAATGCTATTATCTAATAAAGAATGTACAAACATTATGTTAGTTGTAATCTATCATAAGATTCTTTTCATAAATAGTTTAATCTTACTGAGTGAAAATAAAATAATGCAATAGCTAGATAGAAATGTTGAGGTTGTCTCTACAGGATTGCGCACTGAATTTTATGTCTTGTTTTCTGTCGTTGTCCAAGTATGGTTTTTCCCATGTGGTTTAAGATGACTAACCTGACCTCGGGGAACAGAGACCTCATCTCAAAAGAAAAAAAAAAAAAGAGATTAGTATGAAGGTTGTGGATATAGCTTAGAGACAAGGTCCTGGGTTCAGTCTTCAGTGCAGGGAGTAAAACTGTAGTCAAGCTGGAAAATGGTATATCCAGTTGAATGTTGTAATGCCTTAGAAAATAGAACAAAGCAGTTATTCAGTAAGTTTTCAAAGCAGTTAACAGTAAGTTTTTGGTGTGGATAAGTCATCAAATGTATATATTATATTTGTTAGCTTTTTAAAACTTTGAATTCTGTTAGCTTGATGTCTTGAACAAAGTTTTGTAAAAATCATTATACGAAGACAATACTTATCACCCTAAAAGTTTCTTTTAAAATTAAATTGCATATATAGAGACATTGTATTTAAAATAGCTAAGTAGTTGGGGATTCAACTGGGTGGCCTAAGTGTCTGGTTGGCAAGTGCAAGGTTGTGAATTTGATCCCTACTACCAAAAAAAAAAAAAAAAAGGTAAACATAATCACCTGTTAGAAATATCACAAAACAGAACCACATAATTTATGTAACAAAAAATAAGAAAATGGTTTTCTCCACATTTGTTTTTACATTTCTAATAATTTCCCTCTATCTATCCTATTTCTCTGTGAACTTTTATTGTTGACAAACTTATGAACATAATACCACAACATGCACATCATTGTAGTCTCAGTTTGGGTGAGTAGTTTACGTGAACTGAGAATAAGGGGACAAGTGATCATCTAGGCTGTGGCAAGGAGGGGAAAGATTACACTCAGCAGACCAAAGTGAGTGCTTTGCTAAAGTTTCTTCAATTCTATTTATTGATACTACTTTACTTATCAATACTACTCTTTTTGATATAACTCTTATTGATATTAATCTTACTGATACTTCTCTCACTTATTGATACTACTCTTATTTATATTGCTCTTAAGGCAGTAGTCACTTAGGAAGCAGAGTGAGAAGATAACGTACTGTGTAGTTTGGGGAAAGTATTACAATATGTTTGAATTGTATTAAATGCTACCATAACTATCATTGATTCTTAGTTTTTTTTCAAAATAATTTTTGTTATACAAGTGTAAATACAAAAGTTAAAAGACACTGTTTGAGCTAATTAGGAATATAATTACTATGAATAAATATTCCATTATCTTTATTCACTTTTTTATATTGAACATAAACAATATCAAAAAGCAATATTGTCTTTCTTTTACTATATATAAAATATTGGTGAATGTAGTTATAAACAATTGCTGTTACACGGAGCAAGACTATTAATCATACAATATATTCTGAACTTGAAAGATTCAGGAATTAATATTTGTATGACTTAGTTACATTCTTCACGAACCTCGTAGTTTTAGAATGACCTGTTTTAGAAAGCTGTTATATAGTTTTAAAAAGTATATTCTCTTCATGTTTATTAACATTACAAAGAACTATCATTAAGCATCTGTCTATGAGGGACACATGCTCAGTGCTGAACTGAACTGAAAATTAAGCTGCTGACCCACTCTCTTCAGGAAATGTGCTCAGAATTGTTTTTCCTGTCATTGTAATGGAATTGGGCTAATCTGTCTCTACATTGGCTCAGTACCCCTCTTGATCAATAATGCTCACTCCCAAGACAGCTGGGAATTGTGATTCAGTGTGTGTCTCTGAAAAAAAGCCAAGTAAACTGGTACATCCGGGAATTAAGTACATGACTTTAGCTTAATTATCATCATATTCTAACCAATAATAAGTGCTGCAATTTATAATTCAATTGGTGCTTCTAATTTTACATTGACAGCCTTATTTTGCAGCTATTTCCTTTCAAAACTTTAATTTTTTTTCAATTAATGTGTATATCAGTTTTCATGTTATTTCAGAGTTATAAAATGAAAAATGAATATTTTCTCATTTAGTTCAGTCTAAAAATGCAATTCACAGAAAATTCAATTTCTGTCTTATTTAGGAGATAAATCTTTATTATTTAACTATATGATCTAGTTAAATATTATCTACATGCTGAATTAAGTAATGTTTGTAATTTTCTTGTGCATTAATTAACACATAGTTGAGTGATGGCTGCTCAAGTTTCTTGAATTCTGTTCATTGATGCTACTATTATGTATTGATACTACTCTTTTTGAAACAGTTCTTATTGATGTTGCTACTTATTGATACTAGTCTTACTTATTGGTACTGCTCTCACCTATTTATATTGCTCTTAAGGCAATAAGCATGTAGTGCAGAGTGAGAAGATATGTATTGTGTAGTTTGGAGAAAATATTAAATGTTTGAGTTGTATTGATTGCTACTACCACTATAGTTGATTCTTAGAATTTTTGTTTCAAAATTTTTTTTGGCTGATATCATAAGTGATTGACAAGAAAGTGAATTTTTCTGAGGATATGGGAGTTTGTTAATAACTCTCAAGTTCATTTTATAGTAAAACAAATAAAAAATCTGTTTATAACAACCAATTTTTGCATATGTAGCCTGCCAGATTTTAGATAATTAGCTAACTAGGATAAATTCAAATGGAAAGGAGAGAAAATATGATTATTTAACATGTGTAAATATTGATGACTATAATAAAATAATTTTAAATGTTTACCTCTAAGAAGAAGTTTGGAACTAAATTGTTTCTCATAATACAAGCCAGTTTAGAAATATGACAATAATGTATCTTATCAATTTCAACTGTGCAATTGTCAAAAAAAATCACTAATATTTTGAGTTTTTATTATATGTCAGACACTTTCTAAATATTTTTAATATGTAATAGCAAATCTTCAAGAATCTCAAAGTTGAATTCCA